ATGCTGTTGCATACATTAAAAAACAAAATAAGTTATTTTTATACATTTTCCTCAACAGGCAACTACCAAATTTAAATTAAAATGTAAACTATAATGTAAATTTTAGCAGCACATCTATAGAAGTTTACTCTGCTTCAGTCTTAAACTGTTAAAAAATGATTAATAGTAATAAAGTGCAGTAAATTTCAGTTCAAACTTAAATGGAACAACTAAAACAAAATCTSAGAAGAACCACAGTGAAAAATAAAATGCTTTTACAACAAACTTCCTTCCATATTCTGCTCATGTCTTAGTTTGTTCTACAAGAAAGAAAGAAAACAGCATTGAAGTTACTGCAACACCTGCTGCATACAGTGCTGTTTATGAAGGCTACTGCTAGCAGCAGCAAACTCTTTGAATTCTTTGTCATGTCTTGTCCTCAAATGTTGAATCAAATTGCTGCTGTTAAAACATCCAACTTTCGCTCCTACTGCCGACGTTACTTCTTCTTCTTCTCCTCATCGTTCTTCTTCTGTTATTCGGGGGTGCGGTCGGAAATAACTTGTCAGTGCGTTAGCGCCCCCGCCTGGTATGGATTGTTGTTTACCCTTTGTGCTGCAGCGCAGCACAGGAGGAACAAAAAAGGGGACAAAAGCGGTATCGGTTAAGAGTATCGGTCGGCTTTTACGAGTACGAGTACTTGATGCTGGTATCGGACCCGATACCAATACTGGTATCGGTCAGTCAGCAAAGACACCGATATTCTGGCTTACAAGGTGTTGTCGGAAGCATTTTTACAAGAGCTCAACGCATCTTTGCAGGGAAACAAGAAAGATCTGGAGAAAATGAACACCCTCCAGTCAAAAAACAAGACCCTGCAAGAGACGGTGGCTCAGATGATCCAAGAGCTGCAAAATATGAAAACTGAGAACCAGAATGAGCGTGAAAAGATGGCAACAGCTTACCAGCAACTTAAAGCCAGCCACGATATACAAGTCCAGACTTACAAAATCCTGTCTGAAACCTATTTACAAGACCTCAACAAACAAATTAAAGCTTCTTTTCAGAGCGAGAAGCAATACCTGGAGAAAACCAACTTCCTCCAGGCAGAAAACAAGACTCTGCAGGACATTGTGGCCCAGAAGACCCAGGAGTTGTCGGAAAAACAGAAGGAGTTCGAACAGATGGAATCATCTCAGGGTCACCTGAAAGCCAGCCTGGAGGTGGAGGTTCCGTCAGAAGCTTTGTTTCTCAGCCGAAACATTCCATCTGGCGAAGCCCTCCAGCAGGTCTCTGATGGTGAGACCACAACTCCAGAGGAAAACAAATCCTTCTGGAAAAGAACCCGACACCTCCTTGGCCTGACGAAGCCCAAGAGTTGGAAAAAGAAAAACATTTCCAACGAACAAACGCACCCACACTCGCACACAAAACACTACAACATAAACCAGTGAATATTTTATTTTCTTTCTTTTACATTTTATTTTATTTAAAAAAGAAGGGCAACACAGTGGATCAGTCCTCTTCTCAAAAACATTAAAACACCTTTTTTTTGTGTCTTTGAGGACAACAGACYGTCCCTGTGCTGCGTGGGTTTTTCCATGGGTACTCCAGTTTTCCCCCACATAGTTTAAATTTTAATTGTTTCACTGGTCATTCAACACACAAAACATTTGACACATTACAAAATAAACCACTGATTAGTTTATTTTATTTCTTTTTTTTTAGCTAATGTAATTTTGTTTAAAAAAAGGGGCAACACAGTGGATCAGTCCTCTTCTCAAAAACATTAAAAACACCTTTTTTCTGTCTTTGAGGACAACAGACTGTCCCTGTGCTGCGTGGGTTTTTCCCTGGGTACTCCAGTTTTCCCCCACATAGTTTAAATTTAAATTGTTTCACTGGTCATTCAACACACACAAAACATTTGACACATTACAACATAAACCAGTGATTAGTTTATTTTATTTCTTTTTTTTTTTGGCTAATGTAATTTTGTTTAAAAAAAGGGGCAACACAGTGGATCAGTCCTCTTCTCAAAAACATTAAAAACACATTTTTTTCTGTCTTTGAGGACAACAGACTGTCCCTGTGCTGCGTGGGTTTTTCCCTGGGTACTCCAGTTTTCCCCCACATAGTTTAAATTTTAATTGTTTCACTGGTTATTCAACACACACAAAACGTTTGACACATTACAACATAAACCAGTGATTAGTTTATTTTATTTCTTTTTTTTTAGCCAATGTAATTTTGTTTAAAAAAAAGGGGCAACACAGTGGATCAGTCCTCTTCTCAAAAACATTAAAAACACATTTTTTCTGTCTTTGAGGAAAACAGACTGTCCCTGTGCTGCGTGGGTTTTCCCTGGGTACTCCAGTTTCCCCCCATTTAGTTTAAATTTAAATTGTTTCACTGGTTTTTCCACACACACACACACACACACACACACACACACACACACACACACACACA